TGTAGAATTGGAATATAAACAGCTTTTCGCTGAGGGTCACATCAGAATTCCTCACGGAATTGAAGATATGAAAACAAATAACCAAATTATACTAAGGCACCCCCCTTTAAACCCCTTTAGCCCGTTTAAAATTCATTTATACTCCCCTTAACCCCCCTTGACAGCCAACTCTCAAAACGGAAAAGAGCCCGGATTTGGGGTCCTCTCGGAGAGCGTGGAAAAACCCCACCGCCATTTTTTTTATTTTTTTTTGTCCCATGCCCCGGTATCCCGTGCGTCAGACCCCCCCGGACATCACGCAGGCCCGCGCGACCGGCCGGTCCAGACCAGCGGCCTGTGTCATGAAAATCTTCCTAGTAATAAACTTAAATAAAGTAAAAACTTTCTTCTTCTTTTGCGGGGGGCGGAGGCCACAGCAGACCTACTAGAGGGGGTAAAGTAATTGAACTAAACTTTGATATACATATAAAAATTATAAATAATAAATGCGTATATCTTTTTTTTTTTTTTTTTATCTCAGCTAGCTCTGGCTTCCTGTTCCATCAGTGGAAATATCCGTCAGGACGGATATCAGTTGTTCGAAGTTGGTGATAAACCAATCGGCCCCGGCAGCCACTTTCGGTCGCACTTGTACTCCGCCATAGCCAATAAAAAGGTCTGCTGCTCCTGGCCTGCGCGCCTGCAAGACGGCCATTCCAAGGAACCGAGTGTCACCAACAAGCAGCACTTTTCCTCTTTTTTTTTTGTTAAAAAAAGAAATAAATTCATTACCAAAATTCTAATTATAAAACCGGGGCGCCGGGCCCACTTCCCTTTTTTTTTGGTTTTTTTGTTGTTAAATAATTTAAATTTGTTAAATAATTTAAATTTCTCCTTCTTTTTAAAATGCTGGCCATCGGGCCCAGCATCTCTCACAACATTTGGTGTGGCCCGATCTCGAGGGCAGCGCTCCACCGGCCAAGCCCCGACCTCGTGCCTCACGCCGCAGTACTCCAAGGTCCTCGTTCACACGCGGAGGGGCAGACGGCAGACGGCAGATCGCAGAGTTGCGCAAGAGCTGTGCCAAACCAAATAGATACCCGGATCAAAGTTGTTCCCGCCTTAATAATTTAGAAAAAAAAAAAAAAAAGGGAAAATTTGTCTGGCGCCCCTGTAATTTGCATTATTTCCTGTCGCGCCCCTCCGACGACCAATTTACCCTGTCGTGCACCCTGGGCCAAAAAATATTTTCTGCAGGCCCTTGTCGGTAGTGACCACAACTTTCCAGAACACCCTCCTTGGACTGACGGTCGGGCCCTGTGCCATATGCCCTCATGACGGGCAGCCATCTTTCTGCAATGCCCCCGCAGCCGTGAGGCACCACAAATTCGCATTTCCATCAGGCCCTGTGCCATATCGTCCGCTTCCCTGCAAGTGTGTGTGTGTGTGTGTGAGAGAGAGAGAGAGAGAAAGGGTGAGTTTGTGACTTTTCTCTCTCTCTCTCTCTCTCTCTCTCTCTCTCTCTCTCTCTC